CCTAATTGATATATAATTTACATTAAAAAAGATAACTATAGTCAACTCACTCCAACAATCCCCCTCAAGTTGGTGCACATATATCATGCATGCCCAACTTGCCAAGTGAGTTGTAGAAGTTCTTGATCTATATAGTTCTTGTAAATATATTGGCCAACTATTTTTCAGACTTCACTGATGGGAATTGTATCACTTTATCTTCGAGATTTTGCTTGATAAAGTGCCAATCTGCTTCAATGTGTTTAGTGTATTCATGTTGAACTGGATTATGACTCATATCAATAGCTGCTTTATTATCACACAACAGATTTCTGACTGTGGAGCAAAGCCAATATCAATCATCAGCCTCTTGAGCCACATGAGGTCACACATACCCTTAGCCATTTCTTCGAGTTAAGCATCTACACTAGACAATGCCATCACCTTTTGTCTTTTATTCCTCCAAATAACTAAGTTGCCACTGACAAAGATGAAATAGCTTGATGTCATATTCCGATCAATCAGGTCTCCAACCCTATCGGCATCAATGTAACCATCGATATTGAGATAGTTATCTTTGAAAAATAAAAGATCTTTTTCAGGAGACCATTTCAAATATCAGAGGATCCAAAACATAGCTTTCATATGCCAATTATTAGGAGAATGCATGAGTCAGATGACAACACTAACAACATACATATGCTATAGCAGGACGAATATGAGTCAGATATATCAGCTTACGTACTAATCTCTGTTATCTTTCTTTATTAGTTGGCTTCTGATCTAGGTATTCTCCAAGTTTGTGGTTCTAGATAATCGGTGTGTCAGTAGCTTTACAATCCAACAATCCAATTTTTTCTAAAAGGTCAAGTACATACTGTAGTTGAGCTAGGAAGATGCCTTGTGTCGATTTTATCACTTCAATTCCCAAAAATATTTGAGACTTCCTATATTTGTCATCTCAAATTCTACTACTAACCGATCTTTCAACTTAGAAATTTCCGTTTCATCATTCCTTATGATAATCATGTCAATGACATAGATTATTAGAGCCATTACTTTTTAATCTGACATTTCAAGAATAAGGTATGGTTTGCATTACTTTGTAGATAATCATACTTGTTCATAACCAAGGTAAATCAGCCAAACAAAATATGGCAGTAATTGTTTCAATTCATAAAAAGCTTTCTGTAAATGGCAGACAACATTTGGTTTTGGAACTATGGAGTATCCAAGTGGAATATTCATATATATCTCTTCTTCAAGATCACCATGTAAGAAAGCATTCTTCACATCAAGCTGATGCAACGGCCAATCTAAATTGGTTACAAAGACAGTAAAACTCTAATTGTATCAAGTTTTGTCACTGGTGAGAAGGTCTTTTGATAATTGATGCCATAAGTCTATGTGTATCCCTTAGCTATGGGCAAGCTTTATGTCAGTCAATCGATCCATTAGTCTTGTACTTTATTAAGAAAATCTATTTGCATTCCTTCTAGAAGTGGAACTAAGGCCCATGTATTATTTTTCTATAATGTCGACATTTCATCTTCTACAATTTGGGTCCAGTTTGAATCCATAAATCAGCATGCACTCTATTTGGAATATCAGCCGATAACACTTTGTATACAAAGGCCTCTAGATATTCAAATAGTCGATGAGTTGACACATAATTGATAATGAGATATTTGGACTATTTTACATGAACTTCTAGAAAGTTCCGATTTGGTGGCTTTTTATAGTTAGATTTGTCAGACAACACATATTTACCAATTACATCCAAATCAGTAGCAGATAAGGGTTGGCAGAATTACTTAACTTAAGAATATTCTTAGGAGAAGAATGATCAGATTCTAAGGAGGGAGGGGTTATATCAGCTGCATCAACTTCTAAAGTCATATCGACAGCAACTTCCTAATGACTATCTAGAGCATCATTAGCTCTAGAAGTCTTTTTACCATTAGTCATGTGTAGATCAGTATTGTCACTATCGGTCATTAGTATATCGATTGGCAAATTGGCAATCGGTGAGTCATGCAAATCGTTGGTAGTTGGTCAGTCATGCAAATCGGCATCAACCTTATCAGGAGTTAGCCATGATGACCAGGCCAATTTTGCTCTTCGCTATCCTATATCTCCCTCTAAAGTGTAGAATTGGATATTGATGATGAAAAGAATGTCTCAGATTCCAAGAAAGTAACATCCATTGTTTCATACATCTTTTTGGTGGTTGGATCATAACATTGATAACCTTTCTTGTGCACAACATGTCCCAAGAAGATACAGACAGCACAAGGATCAAATTTACTACATTGATTCTTGTGCAAACGTACAAAGGCCACACACCCAAAAACTTGGGCTAGATTTGTTAACACCAATGGTAGTGTTGAGAGAGGGCCTGCAGTAGAATCTGAAAATCAATGGCGTTTGAAGGCAACCTATTCAATAAAATGGATTGCAGTGGTGACAACATTAGGCCAATATTGATGTGAAACATTCGTATCAATCAGTAAGGCACAAGCTGCTTCTTATATGTGCTGATTTTTCCTCTCAGCCACTCCATTTTACTATGGGATCTAAGGATAAGAAGTTTCATGTATGAGATTGTTAGTATTGAAGAGACCCTGTAACGATCAATTATCATATTCGCTGTCATTCTCAGACTGGAGAATTTTGATTGTAGCTGAAAACTATATATGAATCATTTGTTGGAAACTTTTCAAAATTTGTATGATGTACATACATGTAATTAATGTATATTCATTAATTTTTTGTACATGTATAGTATTATGAATGTTTCTAAAATGTACATTCATTTATGAATGTATTCATGTATATGGGAATTATTGAATGAAAGGATAGATTCATGTTTGAATCTAATGATCATGAGATGCATGAATTAAAGTGCATGAATGTGTACACAATACTTTAAATCTATTCATACACAATACTTTGAATCTATTCATACAAGTGTTTAATGAGGTTTTTTGTTTCCCAAACAATCTTCCTATATAAAGAGGTCAAGTAGAGAGTGGTTTGCTGCAGAAAATCACTTTCCTACTATCTTTACTCTCTCAAAAAGCATTCCTTAGTTCACAAAGGGTTTGTCTTGCTTTGTGCAAAAGTTTAAGACAAACAAAACTTCATCTTATCCTAAAGGATATTTGTCCAAGGTTATTGCACGTTATACCGGACAAATAAAGCCTAAAGGAAAGTGATAGCTATCACGATTTGAAGCCAATTCTTGTTACAATATTTGCTAGTCCTTTACAATTTACCCAATAATCTTTAGGCTTTATTTATACTCTACAATGGCTGGTACCTTGAAAGATTTGGCATCCAATATTGTCAAGCTCGAGAAGTTTGATGGAGGGAATTTCATTCGTTGGCAAAAACGTGTTCGTTTCCTTCTCACTGCACTCAAAGTGGTCTATGTTTTGACCACACCAAAACCATTGATCGATCCCGATGAAGAAACTCTTAAAGACATCCGAAACCGTCAGAAATGGGAGAACGACGATGAAATATGCCGTGGTCACATCCTCAATACCATGAGTGACAACCTGTTCGATGTCTACCATTCAATTACTACCGCCAAGGAACTTTGAGATCGATTGGAGTCCAAGTACATGCAAGAAGATGCTACAAGTAAGAAGTTTCTTGTCTCGTCTTTTAATAATTATAAAATGGTAGATAATAAGTCTATTATGGAGCAATTTAGTGAGATTGAAAGGCTTCTTAATCACTTCACACAACACAATCTACACATGGATGAAGCCATTATTGTTTGCTCTATAATAGATAAGTTACCACCTTCTTGGAAAGATTTCAAAAGAGACCTCAAACATAAGAAAGATGATATCTCTCTTGAGATTCTTGCTAAATCTCTTCGAGTAGAAGAGGAAATTCGCATGCAAGAAAAGAAGGATAGTCAAATCCTTGAAGAGAATAAAGATTCTATTTCAAAAGTGCATGTGATTGAAGAGAGGCAAACTGAAAAGTCTCAAGGAAGCAAGAAGGGCCAACAACCCAAGAATCAATCCAACAAAAGAAAGAAGGGACAATGCTTCTATTGTAAGAAAGAGGGACACTACAAGTCTGAGTGCAAGATTCTTCAAAACAAGAAGAAGAAGCAAGAGTCTTCCCAAACCACAAGCAAAAATCTTGTAGCAATGATATCTGAAATCAATATGATTGAAGATGATTTTGCTTGGTGGGTTGATTCTGGAGCTACGCGACACGTGTGCAACAATAGAATGTTCTTCAAGTCCATGAAACCGGTGGATGAAAGCACCGTTGTTTACATGGGAAATTCTGCTACAATTCCGGTTCTAGGCATTGGAGAAGTAGAATTAAAATTTACTTCCGGAAATGTTGTAACCTTGACAAATGTGTTTTATGTGTTGGAAGTTAGGAAGAACTTGGTGTCGGCTGGGCTGTTAAATAAATTTGGCTTTAGACTTGTGTTTGAGTCTGACAAATTTATTTTGTCTAAAGATGGTATGTTTGTAGGCAAGGGTTATCTTTGCAATGGGATGTTTAAGTTGAATGTACTTGCTATTAGAAATAATAAGAGTGATATTATTTCTGCGTACTTGGTTGAGTCTTCTTTTGAATTGTGGTATAATAGGATTGGTCATGTGATGTGAGACGCGGAAGCAAAGATTGGATCTTAGAGTACACGTTGCGAATTGATGGAGTTGAATCAAACTTGGACCACTCAAGAACGAATTCAACGGTGGAGGACGCCACAATCAAGTGTGATCGCTTGATTGATAAGTCAATAAACAACCTAGGAGCCACGCTAGGATGTTCAACTTAGCTTTCACAAGCTAAAGGAATTTGCCTTAATGCAAGACGAAATTCTGAAGGTTTATTAATAATATCGCCAAAAAAAACTGTATGTAAAACATGACTTAAGGCTATTTATAGCCTGGACTAAACCCTAATAAAGCTTGGAAAATTCAAAAGAAATTCGGCCAGCGCACATCCTTCACTTGGCCGAATATTAGCCCAACAACCTATGGCCCGTAAGCTAGCGAGACCCCCGTGCAGCTCAGCGTAAGCAATACTTTAGTAGTCTTTCTAGGATCTTCAAACTCAATCCCTTCGATGGGCGGTTTCTCTTGGGCTTGGGCGGCATGAACCAGGGCTTGAAGCGACTCCTTGAATCTCTTGGATCGTGCTCGTGTCATTGGCTCTTGGGGCACCTTTACAGGGTCTACTTGAACAGCATGGCTCTCGTCCGCATCATTCCCCTCCTCTTGAAAAGGATTTGCCCTCAAATCGTGCTCGTCCCTTGCAAGAAACGGACTTAAATCAGCGACATTGAATGTAGCACTAACATTATAATCACCAGGCAAATCTAAGCGGTAGGCATTGTCGTTGATGCGCTCAAGGACTTGAAAAGGCCCATCTCCTCTTGGTGATAGCTTGCTTTGTCGTTGCTTTGGGAATCTCTCCTTGCGCAAGTGTAACCAGACCCAATCGCCAGGTTCAAAGACAAGCTGGCGCCTGTGCTTGTTTGCTTGTTGTACATATTGGGCCGTCCTCCTCTCGATGTTGGCACGAACCTTGTCGTGCAATGTCCTAACGAACTCGGCCTTCTTCTTGCCATCTAGGTTTACATGCTCAGAAGATGGTAATGGCAACAAATCCAAGGGGGTTAAGGGGTTAAAACCATACACAATCTCAAAAGGTGAGAATTGTGTAGCACTATGCACAGCCCTATTGTATGCAAACTCTACATGAGATAGACACTCCTCCCATGACTTGAGATTTTTCTTTATAATTGAAAGTAGGAGCGTGGATAATGTCCTATTCACTACCTCAGTTTGTCCATCCGTTTGAGGATGACTAGAAGTAGAGAACAACAGTTTGGTTCCCAACCTACCCCATAGAGATTTCCAGAAATAGCTCAAAAACTTGACATCTCTATCAGACACGATAGTTCTAGGTATGCCATGCAAACGAACAACTTCTTTAAAGAATAAGTCAGCAATGTGCAAAGCATCATTCGTTTTATGACATGCAATAAAGTGAGCCATTTTGGAAAACCTGTCTACCACAACAAATATGGAATCATGACCACGTTTAGATCGAGGTAGACCAAGTACGAAATCCATGGAAATGTCAACCCAAGGTTGGTGAGGTATAGGTAAAGAAGTATACAAACCGTTTGGGTTGACCCGAGACTTAGCTTTGTGGCACATACCACACCGTTCAACAATCCTCTCCACATCCCGGCGCATGCGTGGCCAGTAGAAGTGATCCTGCAACATAGCTAAAGTCTTGGTGACACCAAAGTGTCCCATTAGTCCACCACTGTGTGACTCATGGACAAGTAAGTCACGAATAGAACCTTGGGGAATGCATAACTTAGTAAGATAGAATAAGAAACCATCATGCACATAGAATTTTTCAAAGTTAGCCCTCCCACAATTCCCATAGGCATTTGAAAAATCAGGGTCACTTGTATACAAGTCTTTCATAAGCTCAAACCCTAGGAGTTTTGCATCTAAAGCAGTGAGCAAGATGTGTCTACGAGATAAAGCGTCAGCCACTACATTAGACTTACCTGTCTTGTACTTGATGACGTATGGGAATGACTCGATGAAGGCTACCCATCGGGCATGCCTTTTGCTTAATTTTTGTTGTCCCTTGAGGTGCTTGAGGGACTCATGGTCAGTTTGGATGACAAATTCCCTGGCGCGGAGGTAGTGTTGCCAGGTCTCTAAGGCACGTACAAGGGCAAGTAACTCCTTGTCATATGTAGAGTAGTTGAGAGCCGCACCACTTAGTTTTTCACTGAAATGGGCGATTGGCTTGCCACCTTGCATTAGTACGGCTCCTACTCCAACACCTGATGCATCACATTCCACTTCAAAAGTAAGATCAAAGTTAGGTAGTGCAAGAAGTGGTGCATGTGTGAGTTTGTGTTTTAATAATTGGAAGGCCTTATCTTGTGCTTCCCCCCAAAAGAACTTCTCATGCTTTTTCATGACCGTGGTAAGAGGTGCAGCAATGGTGCTAAAATCCTTCACGAAGCGGCGGTAGAAGCTTGCTAGGCCATGGAAGCTGCGCACTTCACTTACAGAGATAGGCGTTGGCCACTCTTGGATGGCCTTGACCTTTTCTGCATCCACATGAATGCCCTGCGCACTTACCACATATCCTAGAAACACCACACAGTCAGTGCAAAATGTGCACTTCTTAAGGTTGGCGTACAGCCTTTCCTTTCGAAGTACATCAAAAACAGCTTTGAGGTGCTCAAGGTGCTCCTCTAAGCTCCTGCTATAGATCAAGATATCGTCAAAGTAAACCACTACAAATTTCCCAAAAAAAGGTCTCAAAACATGGTTCATCAGACGCATAAAAGTACTAGGGGCATTAGTTAAGCCAAAAGGCATCACTAGCCACTCGTATAGCCCATGTTTAGTTTTGAAAGCAGTTTTCCACTCATCACCTTCTTTCATTCTTATTTGGTGGTAACCACTTTTCAGATCAATTTTAGTAAAGATAATGGCACCATGCAGTTCATCTAACATATCATCTAACCTAGGAATAGGGTGACGATACTTTACCGTGATCGCATTGACTGCTCTACAGTCAGTGCACATTCTCCAAGTTCCATCCTTCTTAGGCACGAGAATCACAGGTACAACACACGGACTTAGACTTTCGCGAGCCCAACCTTTCCTTACTAACTCCTCCACTTACCTTTGCAACTCCTTAGTTTCCTCAGGGCCCATGCGATAGGCCGGTTTGTTAGGTAATGGAGCTCCAGGAATGAGGTCAATCTGGTGCTCAATTCCCCTTAAGGGTGGTAGTCCATCGGGCACATCCTCAGGAAAAATGTCCTCAAATTCCTATAAAAGAGACAAGATACAATGAGGTAAAGAGTCAGTAGGTATGGATGAGATGACCAACTCTTCTTTGCACACAAGTACAAGTAAGAGTTGGTTAGAAGACAAAGCTCGCTTTACATCTTTGGCTTTTGCTAGCAAGCTTAGTTTCCCCTTACTTTCTCCTCTCATGGCCGACTCACTTGTAGCCTTTTTCTTCCCTACGGGTTCGGCCACACTCTCAATTTTTTTCTCCTCACTTTTTTCTTGTTTTTTTTTCAAGTTCTAGCTCATACTCCTTTTGGAGTTTCATTTGATCTTCATACACTTGCTTTGGTGTGAGGGGTACAAGAGTCACTTTTCGATTACAATGAGTAAAGACGTATTTGTTGGCTTTCCCTTTGAACTCCACATCTCGGTCGTATTGCCAAGGTCGCCCAAGAATGAGATGGCTTGCTTGCATTGGCACTACGTCGCAAGTGACTTCATCTTCATACTTGCCAATTCGAAATGGCACTTTCACTTGTCGAAATACACGGACCTCCCCTTCATTGTTCAACCATTGAAGGCGATAAGGTCTAGGATGTCTGATGACTGGGAGCCCTAGCTTCTCTACCATGAGTAGACTAGCTACATTGGCACAACTCCCACTATCAATAACAACACTACAAACCTTATCCTTGATATGACATCTCGTGTAGAAAAGGTTATCCCGTTGTATCTCGATTTCCTCTTCCTTGGTGCGGGTGGTGAGGACCTTTCGAACCACCAAGCATCCAATCTCCTCATGTGTGGGTATCTCCTCACTTGAATCATCCCCTTCACCCTCTAGAGGTGGCATCCCTTCGTATTCCTCCTCTTCATCGGACACAATCTCGCCATTTGGCAATAGTAGCATAGCCCTTTGGTTGGCACATTGAGATGCAATATGACCATAGCCTTGACACTTAAAGCACTTAGTGTCTCGGCCACGCGGTTTAGAAGCTCCATTATTACTCTTAAATTCAGGTTTGGCTGTTGCCTTGGGTGGAAAGGCATTCGGCCTTGGTGGTTGAGACGGAGCCGTGGCCTTCTCCTCCCTCTTTGGTTGAGGGGTACGCCAATTTCCAGCTTGGTACGTGGTGTTAGGCCGTGTACTTCCCCTCCTCTCGAGGCGTCGTTCAACTGTAACCGCCTTCTCCAACATTTCATTCATGTCGAGGTAGTGTTGGAGTTCCACTACTTCGGCAATCTCGGGCCTCAAACCATGCAAAAATCGAGCCATAGTGGCTTCTCCATCCTCACGCAAGTCTGCCTTCATAATGGCCATCTCCATCTCTTTATAATAATCCTCGACTGACAAGGAACCTTGGGTGAGAGATTGTAACCGTCGGTGTAAATCACGGCTATAGTAGCTCGGCACGAACCTTTTCCTCATGAGACTCCTCATCTCGTCCCAAGTCTCCACGGCCCTTTCACGATTTCTTCTTCGGCTTAGTCGTAATTGGTCCCACCAAATGGAGGCGTAGTCAGTGAACTCCACGGCTGCAAGTTTTACTTTTTGTTCCTCCGAGTAGGTGTGGCACTCATAGACCAATTCGATTTTCCGTTCCCATTCCAAGTAGGCTTCGGGATCAGACTTGCCTTGGAAGGAAGGAATTTTGAGTTTGACCCCCTTAATGGTGTCGTCTCCTCGCCTTTGTGCACGGTGATCAGTTTGGTACCTCCCCTCAAACGGATCCTCTTCATCATTGGAGTACACCGATTCCTTGCCTTTACTCGAGCTATGTAGATTCTTCGAGTTTTCCAACTGATCAATCCGGTCATGCAATGGTTCAATGGAGGTTTTAAGCAATTGCTTGAACTCCCCCATCATGGCATCTAGGCGTAGTTGAAGGTCCATTGCTTGGTCACCAACTCCACTAGACATGCTTAGGTACACCTGTAAAAGAAAACAAAAACAAAACGACTTCATTTTTTTTTTTTTTTACAATGTAGAGGTCACTCACACTCGTGTTTCACTCAAGTGTATCACTCTCTAAGAATCTCACCAACAATTCCTTGGCTTGCTAGTTGCTCGGGTTGAACAACCTAGGCGTCACAGCAAGGTACGTTCTTGGCTAATCAACAAGTAACACAAGAAGGTAGCTATGAATGGAGGTGAATGAGGATCTAGACGCAATCTAAAACTCAGAATAGGACTAACAATAACTAAGACTCGGAAGAGAAAGCAAAACAAATGAACTCAAAGCTGAAATATTGAAAATCCTAGAAAACTCTACCCGTGACCCAAATTCTGGAATTTGGTTGAGCTGCTGGTTCGTGGCCTTTTTGGTCAGTGTTTTGGAGATTTAGGGTGCTCCAATTAGGTACAATTCGGTCCTCAAAATGCAGTCAAATCAATTTGCCAAACAACTGCAACCGATTGTTAGAAATTTGAGGATCCAAAGGCAGTTCGGCTTGGTTTTGTGTGGCGGGTCAGGTTTAGTTTAGGAAACTGTTTTGAGTGCTTGTGGGGCTGGTGAGGTCGGTTGGGAGGCTCTTGGGGTAATTAGGACTTTGGGCAGTGGGTTTTCTTGGCTGCTTCTAATCCCAAGTGGACTAGAATTGGTTATAGCTCACGGTTGGGACTTGGCTCTCAATTGGAAACTAGAGCCGCAACTTTCCCTCTTTTTTTTTTCGTTTGTTTCTTTCTTCTTCTTCTTTTTTTCTTTTGCGGATCACTAAAGGATTTTTTTTTTCCAGAAATCAGATTCAGTCCCAACCAATTTGAAGTCTCGGATCAAAGGTTCACGATTGCCAAGAAAGATGGAGGTTTGTTTCAAGAACCCAAGGCTCTTCCCAAGAGTTTCCAAATCTGTTTTTTTTTTTCAAGAATTCCAAGAAGGCTGATCAAGAAGTTCAAGAACTCCCCAAATCTACTTTTGGCACTCAAGATTTACAAGATACAACACAAATATTCAAGGAACAAACGCAAGACAGGTTCGGCATGTGATAGCCCCACCTCCCCTAAGGCGAACCAGAGGGTTCGGCGGGCAGCCTGCCCATCTCTCGCCGGGACTCAGTCGTTCACTACATTTCTCAAACAGATTACAATATAAATCTCAAAAATTACATCAAATGTTCCTACAATTACACATCCAAGTCTCCAATAATTACATGTCACAAGCGAAGCGAAAACAATTTCCAACTATACATAAAATGATTCCAAATCCAAATTGTACAAAATATAGGCCATCTATTCACGTGAATAAGCACAACAAGCCTTCCTTCGCCACGAGCCCTGTGGAGGGGAATAAAACATTTTTGGGGTGAGCTAAAATCTCAGCGAGTAACCAGTAAAATCAGTAATCAAATATATTTCACAATATTGCATTTCGATCCTTTCGATGATGTCATGATTCAAAGAACAAATGTCCGTTTATTGCTCTCGTGAGCCAGTGAAATCATAGTACTTGAACACCCAACGCTCAAATAGATCATTTAACATTAACATTAATATTAAGAGGGAGCCCCTTTTTGAGCTCCGGAGCCATTTGCTCCAAGTAAACAGAGGTGGAGACGTTGGTGTCCAGCACAAGACTCCCCAAGAACTCATTGAAGCCAAAATCATATCATGAATTCACATGCAAGCACGCATGAGATGCAGTCGAGTAAATAATGCAAGAAACATTTCATAAGAAGCTTTAACAATAGTTTGGAGTCACTCACCTCCATGGCTCAGGAACCATCTAGCATATAACATTGCCTTGCTCAAATCCAAGTCTTAGATCACAAACTCAATGCAAACAAGTCCTTTAAAAGTTCGGACAGCACTTCCCCCAAATTTGCTTACTTTTCCAGCCATCATGGCTTCATTATTTCCTCAGCCAGTCCCAAAGGTACACACACAACAACAAGTTCATCCAATAGTCATTCAGCAAGCTCCAAGTAGTACTAGTACAAGTCAAGCTAGGGAAAAGTTCGGAAATGAAAGTTAAGCTCAAAACCAGAAAAATAGTTTTGGACGTCATTTTACGGTAATGGTACCAAAGGCATTACGATTGTCGGATGAAGGTGCAAGACCCACCGTTTCGAAGCTAAGAGACAGGGCTACAATATTGCAGAAGGTCACTCGACCCAGTTTCGAGTGTAACCAGGTCAAAAATGCAAGAAACTATACCAGAATGACAAAAATAGCTTTACAGAATGCATTCTAGCGGAAACATCATAACTCAGGCTCTCCAAGTCCAAATCCAGAAATTTCAAAACCAGCTGAAAGCTAAGAAACAGGGGTACAATACATCAGAAGACCTCAACAACCAATTCCAAAGCATTCCCAACCAAAATAACCCATTACAGAAGCAATTCCCAAATTCGGGTAAAACCAGGGCAGCAAGGGTAATTCCATCTTTTCTCATTCCACACTACTCCGATTGACCTGAAATTTTGTAGGTACCTCTAAAATATCATTCCCTATAACTTTCATGAAGACCACTCAGTCCAGTTCTCACCCTAACGAGGTCAAATGTTCCAAAACAACTCCAGATTTTCCAGTTCGAAATTCACTGCGGAAATCAACTAGAAGTCTTGCTTTATTTACTCATATCTCAGCACACACAACTCCAATTCAGGTAATTCCAAAGCCATTTGAAAGCTAAGATACAGGGCTAGAATTCTTAAGAAGACATCAACAACTAAATCAGTAGTATGCCCAGTCAAACTAGCCAATTACCAAAGCTGATTATCAGTTTCGGACAGAAACAGGGTAGCAGGGGTATTTCGGTATTTTCACAGGCTACCGAGCTCAGATTGAGCTGAAAATTTACAGGTAACTAGAAAAATCATTATCTACAACTTTCATGTTTTGTGCTAAGGCCAATTCGGCCTCTAACCTGGTCAAACAGAAACGGGCAGAATTGAACCATAAGAAATCTCAATTCTGGAATTTTCTCAACAACCATAGAAATCACCAAATCTTCCACACAAACCCACAAAAGTGATATATAAACCATCATTAACCCTTATTAGCATCTCACAACATCAAAAACAACATTTCTACCCAATTGCTATAAGCTTTTACAAGAGTTCAAGGCTGCTTTACCTTCCAAAGGTGGGTTTACAAGGCTGCACTTCAAGAACCAAGTTCATTAGCTTTCTTTTGCTCTAACTCCCAAGCTTGTTGGATGGGTTGCACAAAACCAGAATTTTTCTTGTTCTTTCTCTTATTTTCTCTTGGTTTTTCTCCCCTCTTTTCTCCCTAGAGCTGGCTGAAATTCTCCTTGTTGTTTTGGCCTTTGGTCTTGCTAAGAAGATATTAACTAAGTCACTTGGTCAAAGTCCAACACCTTTTTGTTTAGCCAATCACAATTAAGCTTAGGAACTTCATGGAACCTTTAGGAAGTCTAGCAATTTGTGCTTAACCAAAAGTCACACTATGGCCCCAACTTCTTTTAATCTTTACAATTAACTCCAATGAGTTGTTAAAAATATACCACATTTACCGCACTAGCGGGTCCCACGTCCATAATACATTTCAAACTTAACGTGGACTAACTTGTATCAAGGAAATGATTTGAAAATTATATTTCCTTATAAAAATGTATAAGAAATGAATATTGAAGAAAGGTACAAAATTATAGACAAGGAAACAAAATAATGTCTAGAAAATATATTTAAAAAAAAATTTTCGGATTCTCATACTCATACTTTTCGGGGCGTCACACGGCAGCAACCAAAGAGAAAATTCCAGCAATGGTACTCGACAACAAGGTAAGTAACACCCTTCCTTTTTTTTCTTTTTTTTTTTGACCTTCGGCTGGGTTTTTTTTTTTTTTTGCCACACCCAAACGACTCAAACCCAATCAAGAACTACACTATAATCTGACCCTAGGCAAATAACAAATGGCAAACAAATTTTCTAGACAGATTGCGACTCAAGACTAATGAAACTCAAGGCGCGACAAGAAGGGAAGAAACCCTAGCCGCCGCTAATATTTTTTTTAAAAAAATATTTTTTCTTTTGAACCAGACACAGGCAACCAACACAACTAGACACACGCAAACAATGAATGAATCTGGAAAATTTAACGCAAAACACGATGCAACAAATCTGGAAATTGTGGATAGTGAACTAAACAACAAAGATAGATTTGCTACGAAACAACAATGACCACGACAACAACCCTACCACTTAGCGACGAATATTTAGGGAATAAAACAGACTCAAAAAAAAAAAAGGATATACGTGATACCTCTAACCTTGCTCTGATTACCAGATGATGTGAGACGCGGAAGCAAAGATTGGATCTTAGAGTACACGTTGCGAATTGATGGAGTTGAATCAAACTTGGACCACTCAAGAACGAATTCAACGGTGGAGGACGCCACAATCAAGTGTGATCGCTTGATTGATAAGTCAATAAATAACCTAGGAGCCACGCTAGGATGTTCAACTTAGCTTTCACAAGCTAAAGGAATTTGCCTTAATGCAAGACGAAATTCTGAAGGTTTATTAATAATATCGCCAAAAAAAACTGTATGTAAAACATGACTTAAGGCTATTTATAGCCTGGACTAAACCCTAATAAAGCTTGGAAAATTCAAAAGAAATTCGGCCAGCGCACATCCTTCACTTGGCCGAATATTAGCCCAACAACCTATGGCCCGTAAGCTAGCGAGACCCCCGTGCAGCTCAGCGTAAGCAATACTTTAGTAGTCTTTCCAGGATCTTCAAACTCAATCCCTTCGATGGGCGGTTTCTCTTGGGCTTGGGCGGCATGAACTAGGGCTTGAAGCGACTCCTTGAATCTCTTGGATCGTGCTCGTGTCATTGGCCCTTGGGGCACCTTTACAGGGTCTACTTGAACAGCATGGCTCTCGTCCGCATCATCATGTTAATTACAATGCATGAAATGATGAGACTTGATTTGCTGTCATATTGTGATAAGA